CCCTTAAGAGGCCATGTGTAGTTTATATGAACAGCTGGGTTCTGGAGTCCAGCAGATCTGGCATTTATTAGCTGTGTAATTTTACAGAAGTCCCTGTGACTCTCTGAGAACTTGGTTTATGTGTAAAGTGGGAATAATCATGGCCCCTTTGCTCCTATTCCTGCAAAATCACCTTTCCTCTCTTTGAAATTAAATACAGTGTATAAAACACAGGCACAAATCTTAAAAAGGCAAACAGAAAAAGGAAATAAATAGAGGCTGAGCATCCCTAATCTTAAGTCTGAAATGCTGTAAACTCCAAAAGTTTTTTTTGCGGGGGTGCTGGGTAATGGGGTTCTGAAAACTAAACACAGGGACTTTCAACTGAGCTACATTCCCAGCCCTTTTTGTTTTGAGAAAGGGACTTGCTAAATAGCCTAGGCTGGGCTCCACCTTGTGATCCTCCTGTCTCAGCTTCCCAGAGTGCTGGAAAACTTTAAAACTTTTTGAGTGGATTTTCTGATTAGGGATTCGTGGTTTAGGGCTAAACCACTAAAGTTAATGCAAATATTTCAAAATCTAAGAAACTCCAAAATCTGAAACACTTCTAGTCCCAAGCATTTTGGAGAAGGATACTTAACCTGTAGAAGGCAATGATAAAAAGGAAAAGATAAAGAATTAAACTAGTAAAAATTCAATATAGAAAGTCTTTCTAGTTCTCTCTCCCCCATTACAGTATTCTCCTGTCTGCAAAAGTGTTAACATCACTAACCTCTGCCCACTGTCCACACAGTTAAATCCCAATCTCGTCTTTCCAAAATTTCCACCCACCCCTCTTTCCCACACAGGGGAGGCCCAGCTGTGACACACCTTGATGCACCCAGTCTCAGCTACGTCCCTTACTCACCAGCCGCCTCCTCGACAACACCCCTGAACCCCTCCCTACTCCAGTTCTTGTAGACAGAATGGCTAAAGCAGGAGGTGAATGCCTGAGATCTCACTGGGGAGAACGTGAAATACTACAAACACTTTTTAAAAGTTTGCGGGTTCTTAAATGCTCAACAGAGATTGCGTATAGCCTAGCAATTCCACTGCTAGGTAGTGACCCCCTCACCATAAAGTCGTACGTCCACTGGTCTGTACACAGACTCCACAGCAGCATTACCCATTAGAGCCTACAGTGGCAGCTACCCACAAGCCTATCACCTAGTGAAAGGATAAGGAAAAAATATATCTGCACGATGAGATTATACTCAACAACAGAAGGGAACTATCCGCTAACTGATGCTACCGAATCAATGCACCTCAACATTATTATAAGGTGCCAGGTGCAAAACACCAAGTACTGAATGATTCCACTAATATGAAATGTCCAGAAAAGTCAAATCCATACACAGGAAGTAGATTAGTGGTTTTCTAGGACTCAGGGTAGAAAAGGAACTGACTACAAACAGGCAAAGATCTTCTGGAGTGACAGAAACACTGCAACTTTGATTGTAGTTACCGTTACACAACTCTGTAAATTTCTTTAACCATTAAATTATACACTTAAAGTGAACAAATTTTATGGCATGTAAATTGTAACTCAGAAAGGCTCTTTTCAAACCTCTGTGGTGAGGTGCCTGTCAGGATCTTCCACCAAAACAGCACAGAGGGACTGCTGCTTGGCTCCCTGTACTCCATTCACCTCCCAACAGCAGCTGGCAAAGAGCCAAGGTGCCCACCCCGGGGGCTACGTGCGGGCACTTGAGGGAGTATAGTATTTAGGGCTTCTTCTGCAGTAGACCTTTCCCTCCCCTGACCTAGCCAGATTGAGCCTAATTTGGAGAAGGCAGACACTCAGAAACAGCTTCAGGAACAATCAAATGAGTGACGTAAGATTTCTGACTACCTTGAGAATTCTGGTATCTTACAAAATAGGCAAAAAAGGACACAAGAGTCTGGTATAGGGTCTCCGTTGTAATTTACTGAATTCACACAAAAATAAGAAAATCTGCTAAGCAAGCTGCTAATACACAAGATATATCAGAGGGAATGTTAGACCTACTTAAGCAGTACCCACCAGAACCTACTGATGTCCCAAGATGGAAGCTGACGAGATTTCAACTGCAAACCTAATTTAAATTACTTTCTTTTAACAGAGTTATGACTGAATTTCCTTATAAAGGTTAAGTACTCCCGACAATTATACTGAAGGAGTGGTTTTGTTCTATCATATTCACAGAAGTATTCAAGTTTAATCCTGTAAATCTTCATTTAATAAACAAGTACCTAATCTCATAGTAACTGTTTCTAAATTCACACATCTCACATAGGACACCATTCTCTACACATCTGCATTCTAGACCTCAGTACCCAGAGATCCATGAGTGAAGAGCCTCATTACCCAAAGCATTTATTAAAATCATCCTCTGAGAAAAATGGGAAACTTTGGAGGCCAAAAAAAGACTTTCTAACAACTCTGGGTATACCAATTTATATTCAAACAAAATGGTAATTATAAGAAGTGTTATTATTTAAAACCACTATTGTTCAATTTGAAAATACTAAAGATGGTTTCATCATATCTTATGATTTCTAATTTGTTTTTAATTAACTTGGATCAATCAATGGTCTTTTCTTATAACTTTCACAGTTGCGGCTCTCAAACTTTTAAATTTCAGGTCTTTCATAGTCTTAAAAAAATGAAGACCTCAGGTTTTGTTTATTGTAGCTCATACGTATCTATGCTTCTTGCACTGGACATAAACTAAGAAATTCTCAAAATACATATTACCTTACTTAAAAAAATAATAACCTCAAAAAATAAGCTAATTACTACATGTTAATATGTGACTTTTTAAGAATGTGTGCCTGTATTTAAAAAAATAATAAAAAGGACTATACCATCTTACATTTTGCAATAGGCTCTTTAGAGAACTGTGGTCCTTTTTCTTTAGGATACATCAAAACGTAAATCTGAAATCTTATCCATGAACTTTTTGTACTTTGTCACCTTAAATTCCACTGGCCTCTAGCATAATATCAAACCATGGTTTTTAAGTGCTACTGTGGATCTCATCAGAAAAGTCTTTTATTGAGAAGCTGTCAAGTTCACTGAGATAGAATTCCTCAAATTCTAATTTTCCTTTGTGAGCTTGGATTTTATATTCGGCAACAAATACTGTCAGTTCTCCATGACATGACTGGCTTACTGAGCTACTTTTGAACCTGTGTTAAAATGACGTTTAAGATGTCACAAAATGCAAAATATGTGTGCATTTAGGTGGTAGAGCCACTGCCTTGATTCCTACTGATGCGTCAGCAGTTGTGCCCCACTGCTTTTTACCAACAGCGTGTGTATCAGCAGAGTGCTAATCGTGACGCAGTATTATAACAAAAATAGGGTGGACTTGGCAATCATGTAGGAGGACACTGGTCACATATAAAACTGCTCTGTTAACATATAAGAACTGATCACCCGCTCACTAGCAGGCAGCCATCGATCTAGAAAACAAAACTGGTAACTACTATGTTTTCAATGTGCTCTGTAAACGTTATTATAAGGAAAAGGCTAACTCCACTCAAATGTCAACAAGGACACACAAAATGAAATCTAGTTATCAAGGAAGGACAAACAAAACAAACTTAATATGCAAATTTCCCCCCATGGAATTTACAAGATGAACTGCCCCCCTAATTTTCCCATTATCTGATATGTGCTGGGCTTTTAAAGTAGGGCATTTGCTTTGTGTTAGAGATGTGGACTTGACAAGCCCTGGGGCCAGAGTCCACAGGGTGCTGAGCAGCCAGGACACAGAACAGGGGCATTAAATAAAGTCAGACAGATCTGATTTCAAGTCCCCGACCTACACGTAGCCTGTCCTCTGTCATCTCGGAGCCTGTTTTTCTTAGCTGGGTATGAGGCAACTTCCACTTAAGCTGTGAGGACTAGATGAAATGCATGTAAAGCACTTAGCACAGCTCCTACCGCACAGCAGGCATTCAATATATGGAAGCCACTCTGTGAATAAGGTCCCCCGTGGGCAGTCAGAGTCCAGTCAGGAGTGCGATGCACATCCAGATAATTATGACCCAGCATGGGGGCTGATTAACTACAAAATGCAATGTGACTAACAGAAAAATCAATGGTCTGCTTAAATGAGGAGGGTGCTGTAATGGGAGGAACTGGCTTGGTGGCCAAAGAGGAAAAGGAAAAAGACAAGTGTGTTGGAACATGTGCAGGCTGGGGCAGGCAGGACCGCTGGGGCAGGCAGGACCCAAGAAGACAAAGCCCTGGAACTGGGCCATTTAGGCCTCTTCATGATATGCTAAGAGACACAAACACGTAAAGCTTTATATTTATTAAAGACTGAGGAATTACAAGTTCTCAGTGCTAGTAGGTTATCTGGTCCGCCCACCACACACCTCCAAGCCTCCATTGCTAGGCCTGCTCAGACCCCCTCAACCCCCACGCAAACCTGCCTAGTAGAGGAGGGACAGCACAGCTTTCCTCTGAGGTCTCTGTACCAGCAAAGACCTAAAGCAAGGGGAATCTGCCTAGCTTCTCCTCCAGCATGGAAGCAGTATTTACTGGGCAAAGGCATTTGGGTTCTGGCACTTAGAAAATCTTGAGGCACAAAACTTTATCTTCACACCGACTTCAGGTCTTCTACTTTATCAACGTTTAGAGACTGCTTTGCTTAATGGGGTGAGAAGAAAAAAAAGGTCACAGTCGCCCGTATTTTCCACTGTAACTCCAGGCACCTGAGAGTCGCTGTGTAAGTACACCCTGAACCCTGAAGAGGCTGCTGGTTGTTCTCGCCCTCAGCGGGGCAGAAACTGCAAATGCCGCAGGATGCACCCTGCAGATGCACAAGTTCAGGATGAGGACAGCCCACTTGTGTGAGCCCACAGTCCCTGGCCAGTGCAGAGAAGCACAAGAAGACACTGCCAGTGTGGACCCACGGCCACCGGTGCTCACGCACAAGATGCGAGCCTGTAGGCACAAACCATAGCAATCACGGCAAGGTTGTACTCACCCAGAATTTTACGAGGAAGAAGGCATTTTGAGGGCCCTTTCCAAATAGTTCCTTTAAGCCACCTTTCTTTTCAGGAAATTTGTCATAAATCTGACGTATGTCCACTGATTCGAGCAATGGGTCACTGTAAGAATGGTTGGCATGCCCAATGTGCACGAAGAGGTGTTTGTTGTACTGTAAGAAACCAACAGAAACATTCCCATTACAAACCCTTTGAGCAAGCCGGGGCACATCGTCTTGGACTGGTAGGAGCGGGAGTCTTGCAATTCTGGAATTAGGCCTTCAACAGCCTAGTTAGGGTTTGTGCCTTCAAAAAGATGAGCAAGTTAAGAAAAGCCGTTAGCGCTTAGGGTTAAAACAATCATTGTATTTTATCGACATGGTCATATACTTCCCCAAATGCCTTCAAAAGGCTTTTTTGCAGACACAGTGATAAATAATTGCATAAGTGCAAGGTACCAAACCAAGACACAATTTTATGGCCCAGTTTCACCTGACTGAAAAGGGCAGTGACATTCCTCCATGGCCATTATTCACAGAGCAAGCCCAGTGAAAAAATGTGTGTAGTTAGTTAACATCATCACCCAGAGTGCATTTCTCACCCTACTTCCCCAAGCCGCAATTGTGGACAGTCGTGCAAGCAGTGACATCCCCTCCCTCTTCTAGCAGGAGGCGGAATGCTCAGACTCTGTGTCACCAGCTCCCTTAGGAACCCATCTGAAACTTTATCCTGAGGGCTGTTCAACACGTGATTGTTCACAAGCACACTGGGTCCACGAGGCTGTACATGGCCAGTAAAAAGGGACACAAGTCATTCATTAATAAAAAAATCCCTCGAACTCTGTGATACCATTTAACTTACAAAGGACACTTTCTTCCCGTGCTTTGGTGTAAGATGTGGTCACTGGAATACAAAGGAACATCTCCAGACCCAGCTTCTCAACCCAATGTGCATCCCAACCCCCAAGCACTTAAAAATCACCGAGGCCTAGATCCCATCTAGACAAAACTAGAATCCCTGGGATGAGGTGAGGCATAAGTAACTTTTAAAGTTCCCTGGAAGAATTCCCGCCACATTTGAGAACGACGGTTTGATACCACTGCTGTACACATTCTCCTCCAGACCCTCCACGCCCACATCAATATCAACTGAACATGACACAGTGAAGCCCAAGGGTGCGCAGGCTCCAAAACCCACAGGATTCACAAGAGAAGCCCTCTTTCCCTTCTCCATGTAGCAGTCCCCACTGTCATTCCCACTTACAGCGGCAATTCACCAACTACTGTTCTTCTGAGTACCAATCCTAAAGAAGCCGCAAGTAATGGAAAGCTGGGTCAAAGCTTCCTCCCGGAGAAGCCCTTAACACTGGCAAGTAAGACCATGGGGTCCGGACTCAGCCTCAGCCTTGTGCAGCACAAGACTCTGTGCCCACTGCAAACAGAAAAGGACAGGGTCAGGTGTGGTGGCACACGCCTGTAATCCCAGCACTCGGGAGGCTGAGGCAGGAGGATTGCTCTGACTTCGAGGCCAGCCTGGGCTACAAAGTGAGTTCAAGGCCAGTCTGAACTACACAGTGAGACCCCATCTCAAAAAGACAAAAAACAAAAACAAAAACAAAGTACTAGAAAGGACAGCGGGTAAGTGCCCCCTGGAGTCTAAAAGCAGTGATGGCATCTATCTCAGGGTTGTTAGGGGTTTAAATGAGACACTGCATGTAAGGATTATTATAGCAAGCGTCCTGGATCTAATAAAAAGGTAAGCACTCAGTAAATGATAGCTGTTATTACTCTTACAAATCCTCCAATCTCTGAGATGCATGTGAATATTAGCATATTAAGAGCACTGACAGGGCCTGGGAGTGCAGCCTTGCAGTGGAGCACATGCCTCATATAAATAAGATTCTGAGTTCAATCCTCAGCACAAAAAAAAAACCAACAAAAAACCCCACTGATAAAAAGCAGCATTTTAAAACTTTGTGGAACCCAAAGTTTTCCAAACTCAAATGATCACAAAACCCTGCAAGTACATCCTGAGGAGGCCGGGATTAAATCCATGGCCTTCCATGCCAGTGGATCTATGGCCATGGCGCAGAAGAGCAGGAGACTGGACACTGCACTGAACGGCAGTGTCCCACACGTGGGTGGTGTCACCTGGCCGGCACCTTCTGGGGCAGGGCCTGGCCCGCTCCTAGGCAACCTCAGTGTGACCTATATTAAGGTTTCCAAGCCTGGAAAGGTTCCCGGTGAAATGAAAGAGAGGAACCCGTCCAGCCCTGACACAGGCCCAGGTGCAGGGAGGTGACACCTGGTGGCTTTCAGGAAATACACTCTGTGAGCCACAACGGGAGAAGCGTGTGCCCGAAAGGAAAGACACTAAGAAGTGCAAAGTCAAAGCCACCGTGCTCCGGAGATGAGGTTATGAGAACACAACTCTGGTCTCGTCAAGCAATTTCTCACATGTTGTCATGTCACCTTTTCAATTACAATCAACAGCCCATGGAAAGGTATGAGGCACAGTTATGGCTAAGGAGCTGCAGTCTCATTAGTGGGGCCAAAGAAGAAACTAAAACAGGCAAAGTCAGGGACTTACATCCTTGAGTGAAAGCACCCAGAGATGAAAAGATGAACGCGGAGTACACGACTGCTCAGGTGAAGCAAATGGCCTTCCTCTAGCCAGATGCCTGGCGGTCAGCATGTCTATCTGTTCAAGTTCTACTAACAACACCTGCTTACAGCTAGCTGCCAGCCTACCCACAGCTGGGTGCGCTATTTCCCTCAGTTCTGTCGCCTCCTGTGGGCAGGGAGTCCATCGGAAGAGTGGAGCACAGCGGAGCCCTAGGGACATCTGGGAACTGAATGCAGGTCTCCAGGCTGAGCTCAGGCAAGGCCAGAGCAGGGTGGAGTAGAGACGCTGTGAAATCTGATCTTCTTGCTCTTGACACTGTATGCCCGTCCCCTACTGCTGGAATGGCAAGGGGTCTACAGTTCTGTTCTCTCCTTGTCCTCAGGTCAGGAAGGTAAATGAGGGTACACTGCATCGGACGTCAATGGGGCCCATGAAGGTGCTGCTGAAAAGCAAGGTGCTGAGAACAAGGCATGGACACAGGAGCCAGACCTGAACCTGCAATCTCAGTTCTCTCATATGTATAATGGGAATACAATGCCTATGAGACAGAACTGTTGTGAAGATTAAAGAAAATAATGCAGAGAGGGTGCCTGGCATAGGCCCTGGCCGACAGGGAGTGTTGAATAAGCTGTAGCTGCTAAGATTACTATCGTTAGGGTTATTATTGTGTGAGATTAACTAGATCCTAGGGTAAAAAGCAAAAGAACTTTCCTACTTTAGCTTTCCCTCCTGCCTAGAGAACAGAAAATAAACATGAATAATCCGAGAGCTGGAATCAAGTCGTGAAGCTGTGTGATGGTTCAAACCCCTGGTACCCAGCTGGGGGCCTCTCACCTGGGCTGAAGGAAAGACAAGCGCTTGTGTCTGTTGGGTGCTGTGTGTGTGTGTGTGTGTGTGTGTGTGTGTAAACAGAGACAGAGAGAAACAGAGAGAGAGACAGAGAGATCTCAGGCAATCCTCATGACAGTGTCATAGCAGATTTTTCAAAGTAATTTTACAAATGAAATACGAGCTTAGAAACGAGCTGAGGTGACTAAGGTCACATATCCGCCATAGTCGTGGAGTAAAGAATAAAATGTGGATCCATATACTAATGCCCCACAGTAATCACTATGTACCGCACACACGAACTCATAAAAATTAAAAATTAAAAGAATAAAATGTGGGTTTGCCAAGGCCATGGCCCTGCACTTGCTGCAGAAACCAACCACACCATCTCCCAAAAGAAGCTGTCAGAGCCCTTCCAACTCTGATCCACTTTTTGTGAAAGTTGATTTGAAGAAGAAAATTAAAAAGCTAAACAGTTTCCAAAATTCTATGGCATTAAATTAGAATTCAGGAAAATGAAATGATTCACCCCAAGGGTTTCTATTTTGAGGACGTGAGCTCCATGCCCAGGCGACACAAACACAGAAGGGGCAGGCTGTCTCTGCCGAAGGAAATCAGGCCCTGCCTCTCCAAGCTGGGGTCTTGAAATCAGACCCTAACCACTGGCCCCCGAGTGGCTTGATTCCTGCCAAGAGGTGACTCTGTTTCTAAGAATAAAAAAGACTACAAAAGGTGTCCTGGAGACACAGCACTGCAACAAACAGACCTTCGTTCTCCCCTCAATTCAACCTGCACAGGTCAGAAACCTTGCTGTCCCCAAATCCAGAAGGCTGAGGAAGGACAAATCTACCTGATACATGTGGCGTTCAAGTTTTAATGAAATTAAAACCTAAAATGCATTCGGTGAAGCTGTAACTACTTCTCATCCTGCCCCTTCTCCTTTAAGGCAAGAAACCCAGAGAGGGTTACATGTCTTCCTCTTTCCCACATAAATCCCACTTTCTCACCAACAGTCCCTTTCCCTAAACTACAGGTGGCACACAAGACCAAAAAAGGTAATTCTATTTGACTGGGCAGAAAAACATGCTCTCAAAGGAAAATTATTTGGGCAGAAACAGGGCAAAGGTCCATGAGTCACATAAGTCAAACCCCAAGACTTGGTTTCCTTAATACCCAAAGCAGAGGTTAACTTTGATTTATGCAATTAGCAAGTCTCACAGGCACTTGGAAGAAGCACAACTAATCCTCAACATATCAAAGGTATCAACAGAAATAGTACTCATACTGCATGTTTCTTGGAAGGATTTTACAACCACCAGGATACTCACCATCTATTTTATGCCAGAAACAGGAAATGCATGAACTACCACTACAAGGTGCTTATCTTCACAGGCTCTAAAAAGTAACTGAATAGAAATAGTTTCTTACTCCTATAGACAGAACCACGTTGCCTATATAAATATGTTCTCATATATTCCTATAGAGAAGATGGGGATGTTAAAAATAGTCAACTACCTCTCCTGCGTGTCACAGAACTTGCATCAGCATTCGCCCGCTAATTTTGTAAGAATGACTTTACTCTCCAGCATTACACGTACAGCATTATTTATTAACAAGGGTAACCAATGCAGAATCCACCTAGAAAATGTGAAAAAGGTTTCCAAATATAAGATAAAAACCATGATGACCACTAAGTTAGTTACCCATTATGTGTATGAGT